ATATATATAAATTCCTGATATCTGTGCTTGGGAGAGATGAATTGATGAGAAGATTGATGGTGTTGGTGTTGATTTTGAGCTCAGATAACCGATACTGGAAACAAGGAGTACAGCTCTTTAGCAAGCCTGTAGAAGTAAATCCAGGCAAGTCGGTGATGCATGTAGAGGCGTCCTTCGATCCTTCCACGGGTGAGATAACGTTCAGCAGTTCATCAACAACCTGCTCCTGAGGCGATGCTGTATTGCTATGCCATCTGTGTGTGCGCCTATGCAACATGGGAAGCATATTGCTTGCGTAATTCGGCCCAGCGATTACGGCGCACCGTAGGACATTAGTGTTTTCATCCCGCAGATATTTGGCAGTGGTTATTTGTGCGTAGGCCACAAACCGTTCAGTCCAAAACGTCTTAACTTTTGTTCTAAAATTGAGATGCAAAAAAGGGGAAACAAAGAGACTAACGGGTGTTAGAGCAACCGCCACGGATGCCGAGCACTAGGGCTGCCAGATTGGACACCCTTGGGCATTGTCCCGCCGTATCTAGCTCGTAAAATTTTGCCTAAAGGCTCTCTCTCTCTCTCTCTCTCTCTCTCTCTCTTTTGAGAAAAAGGTTCATTCTTATGACGTTATATGCGTTAATCCGCCAAGCATAAATGAGCCAGAAGGCATTAGTTCACCTGCTAATACTCGCATGTTATTTTCCGAAAACTTACATTCATGCCTAACCCAAGGTTAATACAAATGTGTTTGTCCAAAAGCTTAATACTCATGTGTAATTGGGCCGAATTCATGCTTTTTTTTTGGCCCCCAAGGCTAATAATCACAAAAATTAGCGGAAAGACTAATATTCATGCGTCCATAAGTCTAAGGTTAATACTCATGAAATTTGGCCCAAATGCTAATGTTCAATTTGACACGAATTATAATTTCATCACTTGTAATGACTTCAAGGTTAATACTCTTGAAAATTTGACTGTAGTGCTAACAATCATTTGTTTTGTTCAAGGATAGTACTCACGAAAGTTTAAACCAAAGGCTAATAGTTTTGTGCATAAGGATTTTTTTGCCCGAGAGTTTTGTTTCTGTTTTTTTTTGTTTCAAAGGCACTTATTTTTCCCCAAGGGTAATATCATGAAAGTTTGAACAGAATGCTAATATTCATGCATTTTTGGGCTGAAGGTTAATACTCACGTGTTTTTGGGAGAAAGACTAACGTTCATACATTTCTAAGATCAAGATCAATAATCATGTGTCTTTAGCCTATGATCGGCACTCGTAAAATTTTGGGGTCAAAGGCTAATGTTGATGTGTTTATGGCCTCAAGGTTGATAGTCATGAATTTTGGCGTCATTTTTGGCCCAAGATTAATACTCATGAAATTATGAGTGGAAGGCAAATACTTATGTAGTTTTCTGCCCATGGATAAAAATCATGTTTCTTTTTGCACAAGGTCAGTGCAAATGAAAATTTGAACCAACGATTAATATTCATGAAATTTCAGGCCAAAGATTAATGCTAAGATGTTTTTGGGCCAAAGGGTAAAATTCAACACTTTTGGGGCCCAAGGTTATTACTCATGAAATTTTGGCCCAAAGGCTATACTAGGGAGTTTTGTTCGAATGTTGATATACATATGTTATTGCACTAAAAACATATAATTCATACATTTTTGGCCCAAGGTTAATAGTCACAAATTTTTTGGTAAATATGTTAAAATTCATGTGTTTTTGGCCCAAGGTAATTCATGAAATTCATGCGTTTTATGCCCGAAGTTAATAATCATTATATTTTTGACGAAAGGGTAACACTTATTTGTTTCCAAGACTAAAGTTTAATGCTCATAAAATTTTGGGCCAAGAAGGCTAACTCATCTATTTTTTTTGGTCCAAGAGTAGATGGAAGACTAATATTCATGTGGCTTTCAACTATAAGGTTAATACTCATGAAATTTAGGCCAAAGGCTAGTATTCATATATTTTTGGCCTCAAGGTTAGTAATCTTGAAATTTGGGCTGAATGCTATCAGTCATTTGTTTTGCCCAAGATTAATACTCACGAAATTTTGAGCCAAAGGCTAATACTGATGTGCTTTTGTGCTTAAGGATTCCTCTTTTTTTTAAAAAAAAAGTCATGCATTTTTTTTTGCCCAAGATGAATACTAATGAAAATTTGGGCCAATGATTAATAGTCATGAAATTTTAGGCCGAAGGCTGATACTCCTATGGTTTCAAATCGAAGGGTAAAATTCAACATCTTGGAGCCTATGGTTAATACACATAAAATTTGGCCCAAAGAAACATATTCATGTGTTCAGTGGCCAAGGCTAATAATCATGAAATCTTAGGCCAAACACTAATACTCATTTGGTTTTGGGACTAAGGTTAATAATCATTAGATGTTGGACTTGTGGCTAATACTCATGTGTCTAGGGGTTGAAGGGTAAAATTTAGTTATTTGGGGCCTAAAGTTAATACTCACGAAATTTGGCCCAAAGATTAACATTCATGTATTTTGTGGCCCAAGACTAATACTAATGACATTTTGGACAAAATAGTAATATCCATTTGGCTTTGCCTAAGGTTAATACCCATGAAATTTTGGTCAAAGGCTAATACATATACATTCTTGCATATGTTCTTGCATCGAAGCCCAATCTTACATTCATATATTGTATTTTAGGCCCAATCTTACTACTTACAAAATTTTAGGTGAAGACTTAAATTTATGAATTATGGCCAATGACTATAATTCGCAAAACTATAGGCTAATACACATGCTGTTTTTTTCCCAAGGCTAATACTCATGAATTTTGGCTGAAAGCTATATAACTCACGACCAAAAGCTGAAAATAATGAAAGTTTGCATGGAGGGCTAACACATGCATACAGTTTTAGTCCTAAGGTTAACACTCATGAATTTTAAGTCCAATGAGTAAAATTCCTTTTTTTTTGGCGAGACCAATTTTTTGTATTACAAAATTTTAGGTGAAGACTTAAATTTATGAATTATGGCCAAGGAGTATAATTCGCGAAACTATAGGCTATAATACACATGCAGTTTTTTTCCCAAGGCTAATACTCATGAATTTTGACTGAAAGCTATATAACTCACGACCAAAAGCTGAAAATAACGAAAGTTTGCATGGAGGGCTAACACATGCATACAGTTTTAGTCCTAAGGTTAACACTCATGAATTTTAAGTCCAATGAGTAAAATTCCTATTTTTTTGGCGAGACCAATTTTTTTATATTACAAAATTTTAGGTGAAGACTTAAATTTATGAATTATGGCCAAGGAGTATAATTCGCGAAACTATAGGATATAATACACATGCAGTTTTTTTTCCCAAGGCTAATACTCATGAATTTTGGCTGAAAGCTATATAACTCACGACCAAAAGCTGAAAATAATGAAAGTTTGCATGGAGGGCTAACACATGCATACAGTTTTAGTCCTAAGGTTAACACTCATGAATTTTAAGTCCAATGAGTAAAATTCCTATTTTTTTTGGCGAGACCAATTTTTTTGTATTACAAAATTTTAGGTGAAGACTTAAATTTATGAATTATGGCCAAGGAGTATAATTCGCGAAACTATAGGCTATAATACACATGCAGTTTTTCCCAAGGCTAATACTCATGAATTTTGGCTGAAACCTATATAACTCACGACCAAAAGCTGAAAATAACAAAAGTTTGCATGGAAGGCTAACACTTGAATACAGTTTTAGTCCTAAGGTTAACACTCATGAATTTTAAGTCTAATGAGTAAATTTCCTATTTTTTGGCAAGACCTTTTTTTTTGTATTTTTTGGATCAAAAACTAATCATCACTAAATTCTAAACAAGAAAATAATGTTAATATATTTTTATGTCAGGGCTAAACCTCGTAAAATGTTAGGGCGGCGAAAAATACCCAATGGTTTTTTTCCAAGGTTAATACCCATGATTTTATGAGACAAACCAGTAAAAATTCCGGTATTTTTTTTACCAAGACTTTTCTTTTATTTTTTGGTACAAGACTAATAACCACTGAATTTTAGGCAGAAGAATAGTGTTCATATGTTTTTGGGACCAAGGGTAATACTCAAATTTTGGGCTGGAGAAAAAAATTCAACCATTGTTTTCAAAGGATATAAATAATGAAATTGTGTTTTTAGGTCAAAAGCTAATATTCACTGAATATTTGGCAGATGAATAAATTTAATTTGGTTTCAAGCCCAAGGCTAATGCACATGAAATTTTCACCAAATAAAAAATACCTCATGCGTTTTGTTCCAAAAAGCTAATACTCATCAATTTTGGCAAAGAGGCATAACTCAGGAAACTAGATGCCAAAGGTTTAAAATAACATATTTTTGGTGTGTAAGGCTAACATGTATATGTTTTTGTCCTAAGGTTAATACCCACCAATTTTGAGCCCAACGGGTGAAATTCCTGTATTTTTTGGGTGAGACTTAACTTTACCGTCTTTAGGTCAAAGGCTAATATTCACTGAATTTTTGGTGGAAGAAGTTAATGTGTTTTCAGACACAAGGTTAATACCCATGAAATTTTGAGTAAAAAACAATTTCATGTGTTTTTTTTATCAAACACATTTACTCATGAGTTTCCCCTAAATATAACGGAATTGTGCATCGATGGCTAGCATGCATACGTTTTTTAAGCCCAACGGGTAAAATTCAATTCCTGTATTTTTGGCCGGAGACTAAATTTCAGCATTTTTTTGTCAAAAGGTTAATCACCTAATTTTAGCAAGAAGAATAATGTCAATGTGTTTTTGGGCCCAAGCCTAATGCTCGTGTAATTTTGAGCCGAAGAAAAAAAGTTTCATTCGGTTTTTTTGAAGGATATAACTCACGAAATTATATGCTAAAGGGATAAAAATAATAAAACTGTGTTGAAGGCATGCATACGCATTTGGCATAAGGTTAATACCCATAAATTTTTAGGTCAAAAGCTAAAAACCATTGAAATCTAAACATCAGGGAACGAAAGAAAGAATGATACGGTATATACAACATTTGCCCTTATCAGCCACACGGCATTGTTATTTCAGACCATCCTTGTTTTCAAATAAATGAACAAATGCTCTAAAGGGGTAAAAGAAAGTAGCAAAGTAATCACTTTACACCAAGTCATTTCTTTCCTTTGGCATCTCAAATCAACTGGCAGTGATCTATCTGTACAACGGCATCCGCATACTTCTTTCATGTAAAAAAAGAAAAGAAAAGAAAAGGGACGCCGCTCCTTTGTTTCCTCTCTAGACATCATAGATATTAAATACAAAATGACATGAAAAACAAAACATGGCCATATGATTGATTTACACGATGGACGCACCTCATCTTTTACCCTTTTGTTCAGGTATCAGAGCTCTACCTCGTGAAGATCCTCGCCCAGGCCATTGTTGAATTGAAGTGATGAGTTACTACTGGAACGGCTGTGGGATTGTTTCTGTCCAGGAATCAACGGAGACTGCATCATGGTCCGTTGTCCATCTGGTGATCTCGAAACAGCATTGCCGCTCAACTGCTCTGAATATGCTCCACTCCATGATGCTGCTCGTGACCTTGAGAATGAGCTGCCATTCCCACTGCCAGATGGGGTCATGATGTTGTCCATACTTGGATACCGCTGAATATTTGATTGAACTGGTATTGATTGTACTGATGGTGGTGGCGAAGCCGAGGATTCCCGCAGAGCTATCGTGGAAGATGGTTGATCCTGATGAACATTGACTGTTGGGTCAGGGATCTGCTCTGACGCAACAGTAGCTGGAGTTGGCACAAAGAAAGTGGCACCAGACAGTGGATTCATGGATGGGGTGGCTGGTTTATTATATGACGGTCCAGTGGCACTTGCACCACCCTTGTTAAATGTGTCGACGTATCTACATGGGGGCAAGGAAATGATATAAGCCACTTGGTATATAAAGCAAACAGCGGCAATAACTAAACAAATTACCTTGATCTAACACCCATCCGTCCACGTGCTGAGAATTGGTTCTGGCTAGGTGGCATTGGTGGCATCCCTGAACTAGGCCCAGAAGGATTCAAAGGCCTTGCTTCTGAAAATCCATTAGCAGTATAACTTACACTGCCTGGGCCATTCGAACTCTGATCTGGAATACCGTTCTGGAACAAGGCCTTTGTTGGAGGTGGGGGAAGGGGAGGCTCCTCAGCAGGTATGTCAGCACCTTCTTCCACCCACCGCTTCAGCTTCTCGTCATAGTAGAACTTGTTTTGTTCCCCCAGCTTCGCCTTTAGGGCACAAAAGAATTAGTTGTGTTACACAAATCAAAAACTACTGTGACATGCAGTTCGAAACCGGGATCGGATGAATTTAATGTTTTAGCAAGCACCTGATGATGAGATCTTGAAACAAGTCCCATTGTCTTCTGCAGCAACCATCCAAAACGTGAACTACCTGAACCTGATGTGCTTTGTGCATTATCTAATCCTGCACCCTGTGAGAGTTCCAATTTCAGAAAAGAGAAATGAAACACATCAAGAAAACATTCCAGTCTAAGAAGCACCTGGTTGGGGGTTCTGCCAAAGTCTGGTTCAGAGACACTTCTGTTATGTGTGACTTTTCTGTCAGGGCCAGTATTTCCTGACATTTCACTCATAGATTGCTCTGAAACAGAAGACATCAAAGAAGACATAGCCATCACTGGCTGATTATTCACAAAATTTGTAGCTGCAGGAGCCGAATAGGAATCTCTTTCGGTTAAGGAGCCCTGTGGCACTGGTGACAACGCTGAAGGTTGTGTACCCATCATGCGGGACAAAGATTTATCAAGTGATGTGAAAAGTTTTCCAACAAGCTTTGCAGGGGCTAGATTTGTACCATAACCACCCTGAATAACAATGAGTTGATCATCAGTCAACATGGAAGAAACAGTCTGCTCTAGTAAATACGAGAATCAGCAAGCAACAGCTACAATAAATTCAAACCTGCTGGTAGGTGCGTATCCGCTCCTCTAGGGATGAAAACAACTGCTTCCATGCCTCTAATTCAGGTGCACGGCCAGATGCTTTCAGCACCTTCAAGCATGCTTGACAATACCTAAAGAGAGTAGTTTAAAGTCAATGTGTGTAACTAAGAAACCAGGGGAAAAACTGGAATAGTAACTCAGCAAATTACCTTAATGAATCAGAAACCTTCCCAACCTCCACAAGCATGTATGCATATATCAGCTTATATGGTTGAAATGGCAAGAGGATGTACTGAGAATTACCAAGAACTTTTGCATATTCATACACCTCTGTTCGCTGTTTGTTACATTGTGAGGACATTTGTTTAGAAACAGCAAATGACAAAAGCAAAAAAAAAAACAGTAATAATATGAATTAAGGCCGAGGACAATCATCATCTAATCATGCCATTTTCTGAGTAAGAAGTGGTCCAAATAGAGGGACTGTAAAGCTTTTGACTAAAGTAAGTCATGCAAAAAATAACACTAGAATTTGACACATCTAAAAACATATGTGATACGCATGCTCCTCTGCAAAAATGCGAAACCATCTACATTAGATACATAATGATTCATATCTGAGATATTGTTGGAGCTTATAGCATAATGCGTGTCCCATAATAATATCCTACCATTCATCTGACTGATGTATGTCCAATGCAACATGTAGCTAAAGATTATCATCACAGAAAGCACAAACATCGAATAGATGGCACAGGTATAAAAGACCTGGATAGCTTCAGGGCTGGTAAATGTACGAGGACATCTCAAATGGTCTGCACCAATTAGACACATTCTTGAACTTTCTGAATACGACTCGATATTTAGTTCCGCAGCTAAATAGCATGAATGAGCAGCTGCCACCTGCATAAAAATATGTAAGGTATTTGACAAAACCATGTCAATAAATCATATACTCAACTAGCCAGATTCAAACCTCATTTTTCTCTTTCCAGAGGCAATCTCCAAGGTGCGTAATTACAAGATCATCACCTTTCGTCCTGTTTGCAGTTATAATAGCCAAATTCTCTTGCCAATCATCCAGCATGCTCTTAGAATTCACAGCCTATCCAACAAAAATGCTAAGTTAGGTTCAACCCTAATGATCCACACACGATAAAAGATGAGAACTAAAATGTATGAAAATCATGGAATGGGAAGTCAAGAACAATCAAATGATATACATCACATGACATATAAACACGAAATGAGTATAGAACTATAGGTCATAAACAACATAGAATTATTATAGAGTCTAAATAGAAGCATTTGGATCCTATAACAAAAGAAATAGACAACATGTCCCCTATTGCTTCGAATCGAATAATCATTCAGGTAGGAGTAATAAATTTAGGGATTCCGTCTAAATGTTTGATCAATAGATCCTTCTACTGTCATGAGCAATCAAGAATGTGGTAATGAAGTTATGTATTACCTCCACCGGCCGTTGGGGTATATGCAAATTACCATAATTGCCATCAACAGGGTTCTCAGCATTGAAAACATCTGCAGGCTGTCCCGCAATAAGAAGGCACAATGTCCTCAAAGGTGATCCAGATACAAAATGGTGGTAAGCCATTTTCTTCACAGTATCCACATAAAACTACATCACCAGTCAAGAAAACATTAAACAAACTGTCCAGGGAAAAAAGAAAAATATGTGTATCATGCAGCCGAAAAATGAATGCAAACTTATATCAATAGTAGCAGACCTTATCACCAAGTTGTAAAGCAAGGATTAATGCGGGTCCCCAAAGCTGACCTTCCTGAGCATACTGAAGAGCCTCTTTCCTTCTACCAGAAACTAGGAGATTTTGAACCTCCTTAGCAGTAGCCTGCAATAAAATGGTTGCCACACCCAGGATTACTATTTTTTTCCCCTGAAGCTGGTGTTCTTAGAGAAATAAGAATTACCTGGATCTGGTTTTCTGACGGAATGTTTTTCATGCAATGGACAATGGCTCCATACTCTCCCTTATGAGCACCACTACTCTTACAAGATGAGAAAAGTTTTGTCACTGCCATCTCTGGACCATCTATACCCTGTTACCAAGAATTCAAAATAAATTCAATATTCCTTTCAAAAGAATAGAAATAAATTCAATAAAAGATAGCCAGCAGTTATATGATAAAGCTGATTGAAAAATAAAGTGAACTCAAGGAAGAATAGGTCTTTTCATTTCATAGGTCCAGTTTAACATGCATACATTACTTCAGTGTTGCTGGTTACATGCTTAAAATCCTGTATGGACAGGCCATTTTTCCATGTGAGAAATTAATGACAACTTGACAAGGAGATGTTTTTAACTGTGGTCATGAATTATAGAAATATAGTACAGCAAGACAAAAAGCAAATACCTCCTGCGATGGATCAGACCCAAAAGGTGAACGGAGCTTTCCATAGTGTTGGCACAATATTTTAAGCAGTGAAATGAGCAACTTCTGATCATCTCCTCCCTGGAACTCCCTGATAGAGGAATCATAGCCTCCGGTGATCTCATCAAGCCACTTGTTCACATCCTTTGCTGCAGCACTTCCACCAACAAGGGGGCCAGGAATAGGTTGACGACACAATGCATGGAAGTAACTAAGTGCGCTACCACTAGGGATACTTGGATGATCAACTCTATCAGAAACAATCTCTGACACATTAAGAATTGACACTGTGCCACATGGATTTCCCTTAAATTGCAGCAATAAAGTTTTTCAGTCACGATGACATTGCAAAGAAGAGAAGTACAAATAAAAATTCTAATCGTACCTGATTCCCACTATCAAAGTTTGTGGACATTGAAATGGTCTCTCGCACAACTACAAGCTTCCCCCCAAATCCGAATGTAACCAAAGCATGTGGTGGGCGTCCAGCTGATGACCTCTGCTCATGGGAGGAATAACCAAATTGTTGAGGTAAAGCATTGGAACTGATGAATTGCTGCTGCGCAAAATTTACAGAGCTTCCAGTGCTCAAATAGTTATTTGGCAAATTCATGCATCCATCAGAATCAGCACGTGTTTGCATCTGGGGCATGTTTGCTGTTGGAACAGAGTCTTGTGGCTTAGCAGCACCATTGAAGCTGCTGTAATGGCTTGGTAACTGTTGGTATGCCACATGGTTAGCTTGACTATCTGTAGAAGGTCCAAATTCCTGGTGGCCAGTCTGGCCCGTAGAATAATCATATCCCTTATATCCCAACTGGTGACCTGAATAAGGCTCAAACCCCTTATAATTCTGGTTGCCTGTAGAAGGTTTAAATCCCTGGTGAGCAGCCTGTTGGACTGTGGAAGATTCAGAGCCATTGTACCCACTATGATGGCTGGTAAAAGTACTTTGATGACCTACAGATGGTTCAAAACCCTTGTAAACACTCTGATGACTAGTGGAAGATCCGAATCCCTTGTAACTCGCCTGGTGATCCTCACTACTAGTGTACTGACTTGTAGAATGCGCATATGTGTTGATATCAGCATGATAATACTTAGAAGATTCCAATGACTCGACATTTGCCTGCTGAGCAGTTTGATTCTCAGTGTGCTGGTTGGAACCATAAAAACTATCCGACAAGCTGTTATCACCCAACGAGCCATGTTGCTGTTGTCCCTGATGGCTATAGTCACCTGTGTAAGAATCACTGGTTTGAGCTACATTATGGCCTGTTCCTGCATATCCAGCTGAGGCTGCTGCAGTAGTTTCTGCCTGCACACCACCTTGCTGATACGACTCCAGTGAGAGCCACTGCTGAGTATTGGTGTCAAAGTACCATCCTGGGTATTCAGCGTAGAACACCATGTTGGACGGGTACTCTACGGCTCCTGTATTGCTCTCATTCGGGGTCCAGCTTGTAGCCATGGTGCTTCCCTCCTCTGCGATGGTCTCCAACCCCGCCTGTGAAGAGTCGTGCAAGTAAGAAACGGTGAACTGCTGCTGCTGCTGCTGTTGCTGCTGGTGAACATTATCACCCCCAACGACCGGTAAAGCACCAAGATTGTCAGCATTACCCTGTGCAGTGTAAGAAGAATCCACCTGATACCACTGTTGCGTCGCTTCATCGTACTTCCAGCCAGGGTAGAGGCTCTCAAAATACTTGGGATCGGTGGATGTGGAGTCGACAGCAGCGGCGGTGGTTGAGTCTGACTGTACGCTAGTGTTGTGATCCATAAACTCGGCAGCAGTAGCAGGCCATCCGGGCTGTGAATCGGCGATGTTATCCACTTGATTGGAGAATTGGTGATCCATGGAGCCAATGGTACTAGTGGTAGGAGGTACAAGTGAAGCCTGTATGGGCTGATCACCCGTCATGGTATGAGTATTATTACCTCCAAAAAATGCATCGTCGCCCATGAATTCTCCAAAAGGATCATCCCCACCGACACCGCTGTTGGTGGCGAAGGCGCTCCACTGCACCTGCTTGACGGCGGTATGGACGTCCTTTGCGGAGCCCGGCGAGGCGGCCTCTGGGTTTGGTGGCAGTGTGGCGGCGGGGGCCTTAACCTCCAGCTGAGGAGGAGGAGGGGCCTCGGGTTCCGCATTAGGAGGAGGGGGCGGCGGGGCGGTGTGAGGCTGAGGTGGAGGAGGAGGCGCGGCCTGGTCCGGCTCCGGTCGAGAAGGCGGCGGCGTGAGGTCGGAGGCGAGGCGACGGTTGGTATCGGCGTCATCGTCGTCGACGAGCTTGTCGAAGAAATCGGCGTCGGCGTCGTCCGAATCGGAAGCGGAGGCCATCGTTAGGGTTTGGGGCAGATGGGAGGGAGGGGGGCGGGCGGAGAGGTGGATGAGGTTAGGGCTAGGGTTTGGTATAGTTTAGGAGAGGGATCTGATCGATCGATTCGATCTCGAATTCGTCGTCTACTAGAGACTAGACTTGAATGAATGCGATGCGGAGAAGAGAAGAGAAGAGCGGAGGAGGAGGAAGACGACGACGACGACGCGTGCTCCTCCTCTCCTAGCTACTCACCCCGCCCCAGTATTATTATTCCATACGCCCTACTACTAGTGCTTGTTGTATTTCCTCTTTTCTTTTTCATCAACAGCCGACATGGATATATTTTCCAGACTCCACTAAAATATACTACCACCTTTTATTTTTCTTTTATCCTTTAAAAAATACCACGAGTAGTAACTTTTTTTTTGTTTTCAAAGTAGTATGAAAAGTGCGTATGATTTAGATTATGGAAAATTGTCTCTATTGTCAACGATGGAGATGGCAAAGGCCTGAGTGAGCGTCGTATCATCACCATTAAACTTAATAATTGCTGCGATTCGATTTTGTTTGGACGATCACATACCACTCCAGCTCCAGTGGTGGAAGGTGGCACTTTGACACCCACCTACATTGTGATGATGCATCATGCACAGTAGAGACAAATTAATTCGTCATCAACAGTCCTAATCTCATCCAGATTTGGTCTAACTCCTTTTTTTTCTTTCCTCATGTAGGGGTACTGTAGTGTACTCTATCTTCTTCCGCACTCAAAAGTATGTGCTGACGTTTGCTACAAACAAATACTACCTTTTGTACTAGACACAGATACACCTAGAGAAAGAAAAAAAAAAGAGCTACTGCTACTATTTTGCAATTACATCTAATACGTACATACTTACAAGAATTACAAGAGAAAAAGAAAAGGTGGGTTGTTAATTAGGATAAAAGAGCCTTCTCAACATCGCCACCTTCCAAATGAATAATACTATGACCTTCCTTGCTCTTCGCCCACAAGACGATGTAGAGCCCACAGAACATGAGCACCATCCCTGCCAAGCTGTATCACGCATGTTATGTAATGTACCCACAGGATTATCATTATTGATACCTTTCAGATCCACGTTATTATGTATACATAAACGAATCAGCATATCTATATGTATCATAATGACAGTTGTATTACTATTGTTGTTGTTACAGTCAAATGTACCATATATGTATTTTTTTTTCTTTTGCCAAAGCCCAGAAGGTAGCATGTGATTCCAGTGAATATGCATATATAGTTGTTCTTAATTTACTATTTCTTTTGGGATCATGTTAGGTTTATATAATAGACTAAACACACGAGGTTAAGTATGAAAGTGCAGTCGAATCTCTACATTTTCTTTTTATAAAGACCATAAAAACAAAGAAGATAAAGGAATCAATTGAAGAGATAATTAAAGGTACCTTCCGAGGCAGAGCAACTGGGAGAAGAGAAGAGCAGAGAGGAGGGCAGAACAGACGGTCTGCACAGGGCCAAAGATAGAGACGAGCAGAGGTCCTCTTTTCCCGATGCACCATGTCTGAAACACCACGCATCCGCCCACCACCCCTCCTCCCTTTGCATTTTCAATTTCATCATCATATGCGTCCGTCAGTCAGTACACATCACCACTAATTGCTCCTACTAATGTAAATGGAGCAGCAGAAGATCGAGGAAAAGGTATGTACCATCAGGACGATCGTTGAGATGATGGTTTCATCGATTCTCGGCGAGCCCATGTCGATCTTGCCGTCCACGATGAACTGCAGGATCGCGGTGAAGACGGCGCCCATCATCGATGTTACGCTGCACATCGTCAATGGCGCAGGGAAGCTCACCAACGTCGCTGCCTGAATAATACCATGAGTATATATTGTTGCAAGTTTCAGTAATCCATGAGCAGCTAGCTAACAATGAAACTACATGCATGTATGTAGAGTGAGTGAATTAGTAGTAATTGATGATTACCTGGAGCACCGTGTAGATAGAGAGAACAACTACTGCCAGGAAAAGGTAGAAGCAACCAAGGATCCAGTCATAGTAACTAGTTGTTGTGAGTTGTGGAGAAGACGAAACGGGACTCTGCAAGAAGCTCATGGCCATAGCTCCCACCAAGCACACCAACGTTCCCAGTATCTTGGCTCTTGTGTACTTGCATCCCTTGTCAAACTTCTCCAACCTTAAGTATATGTAATAATTCAGGTAAATGTATATATCTTAGGTAGGTCATCAATTGCAGCTTCATCTATAAGCAGCTACTACTATACCTGAAACAAGCCGCAATGATGAAGATGAGTCCAGGGCTCAAGTTTGGCATGGCTGATGCGATAGCTGGTGTTGTCTTCTTTATTCCCAGAAGCATCAGTTCTTGAAACACCGTTGTTCTGAAGGTTATTCATTGGATACAAAGGCTAAAGCATTAAAAAAAATTATACCATGCATGTGTATGGCAAATAATCTCCCAAATAGATTATTCCTAAGTATATGTGTTTTTGCCATTCAAAAGATGTGTGTGTATTTAATACGTGGTCCTTGGGGAGGTATCACAAGCCTAGTACTAACTGAGACATCATCAGGTCGTCTATCTGAAGAACTAATGTATGCTGCTGCGTGCACTCAACAACTTGCCCCTGCTAAATGACTGGTAGAATCAGTATATGCATGGTTATTAGAATTGCAAATGCACTTGCCATTTTGAGGCTTTTAGTACGTTAAGGATCGAGAAAGGTAACGGTTTTCAGTGCAGATCAATCACTTTGTGCCACATATTTATAGCTGGCTAAACTTGAGCCAATTAGCACGAGCTTCTCGGACTGTTTTGCTAATACTAGTATTTAGAAATATGGTTGAAATAAAAAATCATCAGCAGTTAATGTATAAATCTTACCCTCCAAGAGCTATGAACACGAATTGCGCCATGAGAGTGCGAGAAATCTTGGAAGGCCATTTCTTCCTGACACAGACAAACCAAACATTGCATTACTTACATTCAGGCAGGCAGGCGGACAGAAATGCATCTCATCAACTTCAATATATATGTGGAGAAACTACTAGCTAATGAGTAGTTAATCAAGAGAGAATTGAATTAAAATAAGTAATGGTGGCCGGAGTACCTCTCGAGGACGACGGCGAAGGGAAGGAAGAAGAGGGAGGAGGCGACGGCGCCGAGGACGATGAGGGACAGCGGGTTGGCTCCAAGGCTGAGGACATGGTCCACGAACACCACGTATCCGGCGAGGATGCACTGCACCACCAGCAACCCACCCACGATCACCCCCTCCTCCACTTTCGATGACCATCCTCCGCCGCTCGCACCTTGCACCATTGCACCCAATCTCTTCTTCTTCTTCTTCTTCTTCTTCTTGGAAGAAATATATACGCTCGTACTACAGGATCAATAAGAATGAACTGGTGGTATCCTGAACAATTTAAACAATGAATGAATTATATATGAGTCCTTCCTTTCTTTGCGTGCAGTTTATTCTTTTCAGATAATGTCTGGTGCAGTTCTATTATTAGGCTATGTTTAGTTCAACGCAAAGTTTAGATTTTGGTTAAAATTGGAGATGATGTGAATGAAAAGTTACGTGTATATGACATGTTGATGTGATGGAAAAGGACTAAAGTTTGAATCCAAACTTTGTGACTGAAAAGTTACGTGTATATGACAGGTTGATGTGATGAAAAATGACTGAAGTTTGGATTCAAACTTTAAATCTAAACACAGCCTTAATTAACTAACTTGAGCAAGAAAAGCATAGGGCTATCTTTTCGTTGGGCGGTGCTTTGCTTAGTTTATTCCTTGTTGTGAGAGCCAGAGTTAATGTGCTGCAACAAATAGTCAAGCTCTAACTGAAAATCAAACACGTACTGTACAGTACTACTCACCTTCTTCTTCTTCTTGATTCTACCAATCTTCTTTTCTTTCCTTAGCAGCAGCAGCTCAAGTGCTCACCTACTGTGTTGTACTGTACTACCACAGGAGTAGTACTTATACTCTGCATTTTTAGATCGATCACTCCATCACGGTGTCCGTATTTATAACCATCGATCACTTGACACATACAATTCATGCGTACTTCTGCCAAACTCTCAAATTAAGCTGCTGGGACATCATTAAATTAAAAGTACATTAAATAATACTTCACTCTTTTCACTATCAGAGTATATATCAGACCTCTACAAAAGTTAACAAAGTTCTCAAAAAAAAAAGTTAAAAAAGTGCGACTGCACCCGCACACGATCGATGGGCGTTACTTTCATGCTGCTGTAGCAGTATATCACTGCTCAAGCAACCTACCCTGCTCAATCAATGCTTCCTGCACTTCACATACTACTTCTCTTGTTGCTTGCACTCCATGGTTTATCACCAATCCAACTCAAACAATAGTAGTACTTCTATAGCATCATATATTTATATTCTTCAGACGAATGGATTGGATTAAGAGGGAGGCAATCTCTAGTTTGCAGGACTTTGAAGCAGGCATCTCATCACTTGCTTACCTTGCTTCCAAGCAAAAGGAAAGAGTACACACCACACTGTTTCGTGAAGATTTTATCTTTGACAACTTTTTACACGCCATATGCTGTGCAAATCATGAATCACCTCTCAAATTTCACAGTTCCATTCAACAAATCTCCCTGTGAAAGCAGACAGAACAGACCCAGAAAATGAGAGATCAAATGTGTCAGCAAACTGGACTTTATTTATGTTGCACCTGTCCAGGATATTCAGTACACAAACAGTTCCAGAGGAGCATCTAACATCATCTGATGGTACACGACACATATTATTTACCATACAAACTACTGTTTGTTAGCCTGTGCAAACAGCTATACATAATCACACGCATATACATATATGCATACACGGCCAAAAATACATGCAACCAAAGTACCAAACTCTCAAAGGGGGTTAAAAACAAAAGGCATGCATATGCCGTGATACAACATACCCCACTATGTGGCAGGTTCATAGATGAGTTAAAATAAAAGGAAAGGCAAAAAAAAAAAATCACAGGCACATAAACTACCTGGCCATCTAGATGATGAGCAAAACTAGCCTAATGGTTAGAGCATTACTAACTGCTATATGTACAACGTGACAGTACAACATGTCGCTAACACAATGTGGTATTTCGGATTCACTCAAAATCGCCACTGGGTGCTGATAGCAGGGTTTGCTTGTTACCCCCAATGGATGCTGATTGTGGTGGTGTTCTTTCATTTGGTCGTTACCCTGCAAAGGGGTTCATAGCTTGGTGAAATGATGATGCATGTATTCAGGTATGGAACCATACTGTGAAAAATAATGACTGTTTACATGAATGGGAGATGAAGGGTGTGAGTTGATCCCAGATCCCCTAAATTCTCATGCTTCACTTGGTCCATGCCATATCCATGTGATGCGAGTACCTTCCTCTGCAACAACAATAAGGGATTTCCATTGCTCAGATTCCACGCATGAGTATAGAATCAGAATATCAGGCAGCGCAAATATTTATGGAACATAGTCAGAAACTCAGAACACTAGCAAACATGGTGTTGTTTAGGTCATGTAACAACATATATAACTGTAAAAAGCGCAATCAATAGGTCAAGGTTGCAAAAAGAACACAAAAGGGGATGCCAGAGACTGCATCGATATACCTATTTTGAAACAAATGACGGTATACAGGCCGAATTGGATTCGAGCTATGAGAAAAATAATCAGGTAATGCTATGAGAACTAGAGTAATGTTCCATTGTGCTGCCAAGTACTAGCAAGTTGAAATAACAAACAGATGCACAGAAGATAAAATAAAACGAAGAAAAAGAAGCAAGGTACTTACATGTGCTTCAAAGTTTGGGTTTGTCAGGTTTATTGACAAATTTTTCATCAGTAACAGCACCTGGATATCAAATCAAAACAAAACAGTTTTCATTATCATTTCAAGTGATACAATGCAATTATGTACTGGCATAACAAACATTGAAGTGTACGTGTTCACTGAACAAACTGATTTAAACCTTAAAAATGCATGAAACAGGGAAAACAACCCATGCAGACCTGACATGCAAATCATGAAAGTGTATGAACTGCACAAACTAAGAGAAAAGGGCAATGAACAAAATAAATATTTCTTTTATGGCCTCAGAAGGTGCATAGTAGAGACATTATGCCAAACATAGGAGATCCATTCTTACTATGTCAAGATTATCTAAGCCACATGTAGTAACTGGTATCCACCACTAATAATTAACAAAATGAAACACATTAACAGTCGAGTTTCAGTTATGCTGCATAGTAAATTCCTATTTTACCTTCTCTAAAAAAAGTCTTCGATGTACTTAATTATTATAGCATCATCTTTCTGTCTTATCTGACATCTCACACAAGAGTTTTTCAAGTTGCTGATGGAATGGCAGTAATAGTACAAGTTCGCGTGACAATTTCTATTAGAATTGAAGCCAAAGCTTCATTTAAGATGCAAATGAAATCAAGAATAGCTTCCATGCAAGCACTAAAGTACTATACTTAAACAAATAGCACTATTGTAGATAGTCTACATATTGACATGAACAGAGTAACACTATAGCAAAAAAAAAAAAACACACACACGATCGCTTAGAGAAGGGCATACTGTTTCAACATCGATTGGATCCATCTCTCTCAACCTCTGAAGATGCCCACTTGTCTCTGGATCAAATATGCTTCCCAGGAAGTTGTATACTTGAGCAAAGTCTGGCATGGCTGCAAATTTTGACGCAAGGTAAAGAAAGAAGTCAGAATATGAATGAAGAAAAGGGGCATGTAGAGTACAAATAAATTGATTTAATATTAACACCACCAACAAAGGAAGTATAGGAAGCTAAAACGGCAAGGATCCATTTTTTCACTTTGGTAGTAAGGTCATAACAGCATTCACCAGTCAAATGCCAGGAGTATTATGTCAAGACTTGAGAATTTGAAGGACAAAATGAAGGTAAACAGATGTAGAAGGGCAGAAAAGGGAGAATCTCCAAACAGAACAATTGACATCAAGAACTTAAGGATCTAATGAGACTCAGAGTAATTGAAATTCTAAAAAAAGGCTCATTTTCAGGGGAAATCAGCACAAGGTGACTCAAAGTCTCAAGCTCGTTAGTTGCAGATATATAGGTATTCCAATGCTCTTGGTAGGAGCAGAGGCTGGAGGCAGTAATCTCCCTTTATACAAAGGTAGTCTTATGCATCTTGCAAAGGTGGCCTAAAATCTTATGTTATCCCTCACGACAAAAGATAGATCCAAACCTTCCATTTCGGAGCGGAAACAGATGACCAGAGAAGCTCAAAGTTGAATCTCAAACAGGTTTCCACCCCCATCTATAAATATTTTCTAAAATACTCAGAATTTGCATCCTCAAGGAAGGCCAAGTCTACCCCAACACACTTACACAATATATAAACCCCTTATGTTGGACCATTTAGAATTCTGTGTAGAAACTCTGGAGGGGAAATGCATGCAGTGAAACAGGCAGCTTACCACGCAGCGTTGGAAGCATGATCTCTTGCTCAATTGCCTCAGAAGTTGGACAAGTTCCAGATTGGCTCTCTACGCTACTAGAACAATTATTTGCTGCACCTGAATATGTTGGATTTGTTATAACCTAGTATTCTGTAGAAAATTAACATTTGAAAATGGGAAATACAATGATGGCAGAATTATATACCATGTGTATGCCTTGGACTGAAACTTTGGGCAAGAGCACTATCCCAGGAAGAAAATACATCATTTGCATTAAAGTTTCTAGCAACAGGAGATATGTCCATAGGTATAAGACAGCCTTGCTCCATTAGATGAGAAGCTTGTTGTGGTAGGACAACTTGAGGGGCTGCAAGAACTCCAAGGTTTATAATAAGATCTCCGCCTTTGACCCAAAAATAAGAGGTAAAGAAGAAAATGCTAGTCAGGTGAGGATGAAAAACTTGCCTCTTTTTGAGGCTTTATGTGGGTATGGATGTGCTGCCTTCCGTTTTGGCCTAGGAGGGGGCAAATGCTCGCCTGTTCCATTCTTTTGAACCTTCAAAAAGTACTTCTGTGCATGGCTTCTGATCTGTTAAGATAACTGTATTTTAGATCATGCACGGTATGTCAGATGCATTACCGATTTACTATTAAGCAAAAACAAACATGTTCATTTACTTATTGGAGTAATAAGTTGAGAGTGAGTGAGTTATATCTTGTTAAACGGACAATCGAATGCAGATCCTACACCAAAACAAGATTGCCAAACAAACATCTTGCAGCAAAATGAAAGATTGTATGACTAGGAAATTTAACTACCAACAAACCGATTGCTAAATCAAACAAAGCCATGTCATTACATTAATATGTGTTTAATTTTTAAGCATCTGAAGCAACAGCACGCAACTAATGAAAACAGAAAAGTGCCACATTTTGCTTTGTGGATAATCGAAGAAGCTTCCAATAGATGACAATCACATATTTGTAGCATCACAGAAGAAGCATGGCGGGATGGTACTGAAAAAAGAAAACTGCTAGCTTGAAATTGGATTTAAGTTGAAGTTGGTACCCGGTAGATTTAAAAATTGTAAAACTCTGAAATATTCAGTAACAAAGGCAACCAACTAAAGAAGAAAACAAAAAAAAAGAAGGAAGTTGAGATAGCTATAAACTATACCTGTATTACAGTCTTAGAGCCAACATATGCTTCAATCTTTTTCCAATCACGATCAAACCTGTTATAGTAAAAGCAAGTAAAGAATGCAAAGAATAAGTAGGAAGGAACCATTTTTCAGTTGTGGTAAAACCCCACTCGTAATGTTTGCCACAAGATAAGAATTCAAAGATCATAGGGGGGGAAATGATCCCTTTGTTGTTAGCAGTTGATAGTTGATGATGGAGAGCTGCATCTAACTAATTTGAAAGAGAGTTGCTACTTGGTACTGTAGTTCGGAGTAAAGAGATCATACTGAATTCGAAGTGGTCCAGTGAAGATAAAGCAAGTTAGATGGGCAGTAAAGATGAAGTAGAGGCATTTTTAGCATTCACATGAGTGAGCAATTAAATCCAGGTGAGCGTTAGGATTCAAAGAAGAAGTATATACTAATACTAGTATTTTGTTGTCCCGAAGTGAAATTGAGGAATTAGAATTAGATTTAGATGTCCAGTAATAACAATCGAACTAGAACAGTAGTAGGATACAGCAGGCAAAACGGCATATGAAATTGGATGGAGAAGTAGCAGAAGATGGAGGCAGGGCAGCAGTTAAGAGTTAGAAGAAGGCGCATGGATGCTTACAGCTGCAGCGCCTCGAGGAACTTGTCGTGCTCGGGGTCGGTCCAGCTCTCCCGCGACTTGGTGATGGTGTAGGGCTTCCTCACCCTCCTTCCCCCGTCGTCCTCCACCTCCGGCCCCGGCCCCGGCCCCGGAGACGACGAATCGAGCAACTGCTGCGGCGCGGAGCTCATGCCCGCGATCTCGCTCAGCCTCAGCCTCTGCCTAGGGTTGGGTTGGGGTGCTCAGCTCGATTGCTTGCTTTGTCAGGTGGTTGGCTGGCGGTGACGAAGACGAAGAAGAAGAAGAAGAAAATGGTGCGTGGAGTGAGAAGAAAGACATCACATCGCGGGTTCTTCTCCTGTCCACGAGTTCCCCCGCTGACGCTGACACTGGGCCCCACACCCCTTTCCGCCTAACTTCCATGGGCCGTCCGTCTCTACATACAAGCCCAGGCCCAATAGCCCAGAAGAGAGAGAAATCCGCCGAGCCCACTAGTACAGTACAATTTTCTTTTTCTTCTTCTTCTTATTACCGACTTTTTTTTTTCTCTCAGCTGTCTGCTTCTTCCATCCTTCGTTGCATCGGCGTGGGGCGTGCTTAGCTTCCTCCCACCCTTCCTTCCTTCCTCCGCTCTTCTCAATTTTTTCGCTCATCGGAGTCGGAGGAGCAGCAGATCGCCCGGAATCCCGCCGCCGCGAACCCACCGCTCCCTCGCCTCGCCTCGCCTCTGATTCAGGCCCCCGCCCCCGCCGATCCTCCACACCGCGCGCCTAGGGTTTCGACTGCTCATCCATCCGCTCCTGGTTCACCTCAGATTTGCCCCCCCATCCCCTCTGCTTCGGTGAGTTTTTCTTCTTCCTGCGCCTCGTTCTGATTTCGTTGCTGCTGCGATTTCTGGCAGGGGGAAGGAGAGGAGCCACCGCCGCGCGATTCGGGGCTTGTATGTGTATGTAGGGTTATTAGATTCGTCGACCTACTGATTCTACTCTCTCGGATGACCTAGATTTCACGTAGGATCCTCTACTTCCAACCGATTCGCCTTCTGCTTACTTGTTACATTTACCTCTACACCTCTCCACTCTTCCTGCTCCTGCACCTGCACCTGCTGTTGCTGTTGAAGATGAGCTCCGAGCCCCCAGAGCCAGAGCCGCCCAAGTCAGTATATCTCTCTCTATATGCCTTTCTCTTATTGCTACTTTAATAAGCTACTAGCATCTATAGATCCTGTTCGTCGCCATGCTCATGTGTCCATCTCTCACAGGCGCAACATGAGGATCAGTTACTCCAGGGACTTTATGATCTCCGTTGGAGAGACCGACCGCTGCAAGAAGCTGCCCCAGGGCTTTGATGCCTCACTTCTCAGGTTGTAGCCTTGTCGTGTATCGCTTGCGCGCCACCTTTCTATACGTCGCCTTCCTCTCCTCATATCTCTATTTTTTGTCGTCGAGCAGTGATCTGCAGGAGATGTCCGCTGGCGTGCTTGACAGGAACAAAGGCTACTACACTACACCCCTGGGGAGGTCCGACGGCTCAGGTCCCTATTCTTATTCTTCTCATGGCGGGAGCTCAGGGGGAAGGTGGGAAACACGCTCCTCTGGTTCAAGTGACCGCGACGGAGATTTGCCTGACCGTGACTCATCAATGCAGGGTACGTGAATTTTTACCATTTTCGGCACTGTTCTATATGTTCTCTTACTTCCTCTTTTGTGGGTTAGCTTCAGTAGCCTGTGCAAACAAGGTTAGTGAAACGTTATTCAGCATGACCATGGTAACTATGTTCTCCCCAAAATGGTAATTTGTTTTTTTACTTCTAAACTTGCCATTCAGAATATTAGTACACTGTTAAATGTATGTTAACTGCACCGCCATATTGTTTATTAGTTAGATGCATAGTACATTTCCCCGTGTATCCACGGGCATAGCAGTAGGCATGCTGACTTCTTCACTTTCTACATCTGTGGTTTTAATAACGCTCTCAATGCAGATAGGCGTAATGGGAACCAATACAGGCGCAATTGGCAGAATCAAGAGCATGATGGCCTGCTGGGAAGTGGCGTTCTCCCTAGACCACCTGGATATGGAGGGCAAGTGGCATCCAAGGATCGTGGGAATACGTATCAGCCAAACAGGACATCTGAACGCTACCAACCACCTCGTCCCAAGGTTCTACACATGTTTCTTTCCTTCCTCTCCTGTGTGGATCAGGATCATCAACCTTTTGCACATTAGTTTCTGATGATGAAATTTAACGCTGTTACCAGGCTGCGCCTTTTCCACGGAAAGATATTGACGCAATGAACGATGAAACATTTGGGTCTTCTGAATTTTCAAATGAGGATAGAGCAGAGGAAGAAAGGAAACGAAGGGGTTAGTCCCTCTTCATGCAACATATGGCATCTAATTTTTTAGCTGGATTCATTTTCAGTGTCTCATATTACCCTTCTGTGCAGCATCGTTTGAAATGATGAGGAAAGAGCAACATAAAGCCCTTCAAGAAAAGAAGAATGGTCCTGAGATTGAGAAAGAAAACTCCGGTCATGATATCATTTCACTGTTACAGACTCCCTCCGAAAGGACAGCAACCACAGCTAAAAGTGAGAAGCCAGATGGATCTGCAATTTCCTCAGCTTATCAAGAAGATACCACTAAAACCTCTTCAGTTCTATCAGCTTCCACTGCCAGACCACTTGTGCCGCCTGGTTTTTCAAATGCCTTTGTGGAGAAAAAGCTTCAGCCACAATCGTCCAACATCTCTCTTGAACCAAAGGTGCAGATCATGACATTATTTGAGTAGCTAAACGAACAATTTCATAACATACAGTTGCTACCACCTTTTTAAGATGATGTTATATGTTGTATCTTCAGATCATTATGCTCTATCTAACGGAAGCTTTACTAGATTGATAAATTCTGATTTTGACATTACTAGATTGATTTGCTATCAGGATGGAAGGCACAATGTTCTACTGATGCTAGTGTGTCATTTGCTTAGCAAAGGGATATAACAAATCTATTATGCAGCAATGCTAGATTGCTCCTTAATTGACTTTGTACTTTGTAGGTTATTGATGCAACTAGTGAGGGTAACATATTGGCTACAGCACAATTTGGTGGCCTTGTAGAGGGTAACCAGTCAGCATCAGAGATCACAGCAAGCAAAAATAAAGAGAAGGGCATTCCTGATAACATTGCTAGTGTAGGTAAACAACACACACTTCCATCTGGAGGTGTTACATATTCAGCTGAATTTGCATCGAGCATTCTGAAAGGAAGTGGAGACTGGGAAGGTGATGCAATGGATAAGTATTCTATTGAAAACGAAGGAAAGTCTAAAAATATTGGTTCTGTTAGGAAGGACCATTCAATCTCAATCTTGGAACAATTCTTTGGCAGTGCATTGTCAAAAGGTGGAACTGATTTGCCACCATATGTTGAGGTATGACAACAAATTTGTTTGCGTATGCTCACTCTTAATTTCCTATCTGTGCAGATGTCCCTTTTGTATGGCACTCTGATTTCTGTACATACAAGCATTAGATATTTATTTAATTTAAGAATTATTAAACCAATAAAAAATGGTCTATCCTTATGACTTACATGATCCAACATAATCTTGTCAATGCAAACAAATTCTGACGTTAACTAAGCTTTGCAGTTTGCAGTTTGCAATTCTGTCAACTTTGTTGTGTAAAATGCAGATGGTTCTTGAGCTTCTTTTTTTTTACTTGTTAGAAACACTGATTTCTGTCTTTAAGAAGGAATGACTTTTGTGGTCTTGCATTGTTAGCAAATGGTAATAACCGTAGATTTTCTGTATGTCTGATCTGTTCACTCTTCATACCTGCATTTAGCCTTTCAACCTTAAATTTGGTGGATTGCCAATGCAGAATCAACGGTTCTTTTTTTCCCTGGTCTTTGCTGTTTTGCAGCAAGGTGGTCCTGAAAGAAGATAGCTATGTTTTCTTTTTGGTATTCAAATATCTATTATTTGATCATGTATTTATTTTGTTTTATCCACCTTTTTTGCAGAATCAGCAGATGAAAAATGATGACGATGTGATTGTTTCCTCTTTACCAGAATCATCCAAATTTGCTCACTGGTTTCATGACGAAGGTAGGTACTCATCTTCCATAAATTATATTGCATGCTATGTATTAGTTTTATGATCTTACATTAGTTGGTGAAATTCTGTTCTTACCTCAACATTTGGTTCAAAAAGTGTATAAGTTCCTTGATAATTAATCTTGACACAAAAACCTCTAAAAGCCAGATTAGCTGATTCCTTGGTATTCATGTTAGGTGAAAATACATGCTTAGGTACCTCTTACTCGGTTACTCCGCAGCATTCATCTGATTATCTATTATTTTGACAACTTTGATGTTGTATTTTTTTCTGTAGACTCGAAACCTGCAGAAGACTTATCATCAAATGGTCTGCTATCCATGATTGTCAAAAATGAAAAACCAGGTCAAGAAAGTATAGCTCATGGACCTCCTTTATCTGATGGTGCCGTTCAGAATTTATTACCAATATCACCGACTCATAAACTTGATGTTGCATCAACGCACCCCTTGTTCACACCAGCTGCACCTGCCGTGGGAATGCTGGAACAGCACAACCATGCTGATATTGATCCTGCTCCAATTATGATGACGTGTGAGGATCTTGAGCAGGCAATGCTGGCGCAGGTTGCTACCAGTAGCAACTCCAATCAGAAGAATGTTGTACAGGAGCATCAGCTTGTTGTAGATGAGCCGATTGCTACACAGAAAGTGGCTGTAGACAATCATGCATCACAGCACCTTCTTTCATTATTAACAAAGAGCACAGATAACAAGGGATCATCTTCTTTTGGCTTACACATAGGATCATCTGATAGATCACATAATTCTGATGTTACATCCAATGGTGGAGTATCTGGAATAGCTCCAGTTAATAAAGCTGAAACTGCTCCCACTTCAGAGAAAAACCTAACATTGGAAGCATTGTTTGGGGCTGCATTTATGAATGAGCTCCAATCCAAGGATGCACCTGTTTCTATCCGAGGATCTGCAACTAGCGGTCCTAACTATGAGTTCGCAGAGACAGGCAAAACTTCAATTGCATCAAGCCATGAAGGATATTACCCTGGTGAACAGGTCCTACCCTTCGGCACCATTAAAGATGGAGTTGCCCCTAAAGAATCAGGAACTGGCAACAGGAATTTAGCATTATCTGGCCCAAGTCAGGGCAGTGCTAGCTTAGATAAGAAAAGCTTGGAGATTCAGTTGCCTGAAGAAGATAATTTGTTTACAGTGAACGACTCTTTGGATGGTCAAAAGCCTGATATTTTTCCATCGGTGAGATCCAGTAGGGTTGAGGGGCTACTACCAGAAAAGGCAGTTGATGATCTTAATTATAGGCTTCAAAGTCTAGTGCCTGGTGATTCAGAACATGTTCAAGTACTTGGTCCTGATGCGCTGGGATCCCATTCTCATGAACGGCGTTATCAGGCTGAATCTCAAAATCTTTATCATCTTCTACAAGGTAGACCACCTGCACTGGCTCCTCGTCCTATGATGGATCACATTGGTAATAGGAATCAGCAAACCCCGTTTGACATGACACAAGCGATACAGCATGATCCTCACCGTTCCTTTTCATCGAACATGAATCCTATGCAACAATCTCTTCATGCTCCTCGGGCTCCTCATGTAGACCCAGCTGCTCATCATCTTATGATGCAGCACATCTCCACACCTGGAAATTTTCCACCAGAAGGCCTGCAAAGAGGTGTTCCGCCATCTCAGCCTGTGCATCACATGCCTGGTTATAGGCCTGAGATGAGCAATGTAAATAACTTCCATATGCACCCTCGCCAGCCCAACTATGGAGAATTTGGATTGATGATGGCAGGTTAGAAAGCCTCTGCAAGCTGATATTATATGTTGTGTGTATTTGCAAATTTATGTTGTCACAGTTTACAAAGGTGAGATTGCAGAAGCAGGCCTGCTACAGGTGACAAGATAATATATGTGTCCCAAATGTGACATCCATGACTGAAAACTACAGAATTCACTAATTCACATAGACAAAATCTCTAATCTGAATTATATGGCACTAAGGTTTGGGAATATGAATTGTGGTATAATTGTGTGCTTCTGCTTTCCTTGAGCTTAACATGCCAAGTACTTTTTTTTCGTTATTCTTGTCTATACCAATTGTTTTATTCTCTATATGGAACGGGCTTTCTATTATTTCCTTGAAATCACTTTTTAAGGGGAACATTTTCTCGATTCGTTCATTGTTAGGACTACATTACCATTGTTTGTCAACCAAATAGGTTTGGTTTTTACCCTGAATTTACCTGTATACCAATTTGGACCACATGTTTGATTTCTGTTCTTTCGTTTTTCGATTTTAGGTCCATCAGGTCCAGAACTGAGAGGCAATCACCCAGATGCCTTTGAAAGGTTTCTCCAGATGGAGCTTACAGCCAGATCCAAGCAGATGCACCCAGCAATGGCTGGTCATGTACCTGGCGGCATGTACGGGCCCGAGCTTGACATGAACTTGAGATACAGATAGATGGATGCGTGTGATTGCTTATGCAGTATGAAGGACCCAGAAACGGTTTGCTGTACTTGCGTCAAATAGTACTCTTTACCCATGCCATACCGCTATGTACCTGTGTCAATGAGCTTGGGTTAGCGTTTACCATCAATACAATCGTTTGGCTGCGATAAGGTACCTGATGATTCACTGGTGGTGGGGGTTGGTTGCATTTGCATATAAATATGGAGAAGTTATGAATGGGTTGGTGATCTGGAGTGATCTGTTGTGAAAGTGGGGAACCCAACGAATATTGGGTGAGGTCCATCACCGTAGCAGCCACCTCTGCATTGTGTCTGTCTGCCTGCCTATCTGTTGTTTTCAGTTTCTGTATAAATACTATTCTGCAAAAGAAAGTACCAGATTGACAGACACATTTGGAAGTGTTTCCCTGGCCTCACCTTTTCTTTTAGCTACAGTAGCATTTTATGTTTAATTTAGTTTCTAGGATAAAATGCTATCCATGTAACGATTCTCTGGTATTTAAGCATTTACCCCCTCCGTTTTCAAAAAAAAAAAAGAGACCAATCCTACCAATGAACCTTGATTCGTAGCTAGGAATTTGTTTTTTTTTAACGGAGTAGTAGTTCAGGATAAGGAGTCGCCGCAGAAAGATCAACCACTCAGAACATGACATGTTAGAAAAATAGTGTATAACATTGGTATTTTCCTATACTAAGCTATCTGTTTTTTTAACCAAACAATTTATATCAATCCTTCTTTTAATATATGACTTTTGCAAATATATGATTTTTGCACGTATGTATGTAATTACCATTTATTTTGCTAGGATTTGTTCTTTTACAAAATTTTTAACAAAATTATATATCTATACTAAACAGTTGTGGTGGAGTAGTCACTACCACTGACATGCGATGCCATTGTAGGGGGCTTTCACCCATTTTCCTGATTCCCTCCTTCGAATGGTAAAAAAAAAACATTTAAAATAGGACAGAGGGAGTACAATGTATGATGATTTATTTTCTTCTACTCGTATATATGCAAAATTCAATGGTAACATTTTTCAAATTAAATAAATCTAGAATAGGATATCATGTTATTCTAAGTTGGTTTATTTTAGAATATATTATAAGTGGGTTTATTTTGGTAGGGAGCAAACAATTCATGGGCTTAAAATGTTGGGAAGTTTCTCATTTCTAGGCCTAAACGATGCTAGTACTAGGCAAGTAGAGTAGCAGCCAAAGCGGACACCGCTACCACCTCCACTACCCACCTTCCTTCCTTCCTGAGGATCTCCGCTTGAAGAGAAGAGAACCCCAACCCTAACCCTAACTCCAATGGCGTTCGCCCCGCGCCTCCTCCTACCTTCCCGGTGCCCCCCGCCGGCCTCCTCCCCCGCGCGCCACGGCGGCCGCACCGCGCCTGAGCTGTCCGGTCCCACCCCGCGCGTGGTGGTGGTCACCTCCGGCAAGGGCGGCGTGGGTAAGACCACCACCACGGCCAATCTCGCCGCCTCCCTCGCACGCCTCTCCCTCTCCGCCGTCGCCGTCGACGCCGACGCGGGCCTGCGCAATCTGGACCTCCTCCTCGGCCTCGAGAACCGCGTCCACCTCACCGCCGCCGACGTGCTCGCTGGGGACTGCCGCCTCGACCAGGCCCTCGTCCGCCACCGCGCGCTCCATGACCTGCAGCTGCTCTGCCTCTCCAAGCCCCGCTCCAAGCTGCCCCTCGCCTTCGGCTCCAAGACCCTCACCTGGGTCGCTGACGCGCTTCGCCGCGCCGCCAACCCACCCGCTTTCATCCTCATCGACTGCCCTGCAGGTCAGTCCGCCCCACCACCATTTCCATCAACTTATGATGATGGATGTTATATGCCACTCGATTTGCTTTAACGCAATTAATAATTGTGATGTTTATCTTGTTCTCGCTTGCCCATCCCTATCTATTGCCCAGAATTGTAACTTTAAGAGCCATGATGCAAGTCAAACTTTTTATGATGCCAGTGCATAACCGTGATGCAACTTATATTCTCAAAGTCAATCCATTTATGCATATTACCTATTTTCTATTTTAGATTTTAGAGCCATATCAAGTTATCCTTTGATCATTGTAACTTAAGATTTTGTTTTCTTACCTGCCACATATAGGTGTTGTTTAGGCCAGGCATCAGTTTGTTTAATTTGGTTGTGAGCTGTAAATTTCAACCCCACTGATTGAGTGATTGACCATCCATAACTAACTGCAGCATAATTCTGTCATGTCAATATATAATTATGAACCTTCACCTTTTAGTGCTGGTCTGTTAAGTGAAAATGTTGCAAGACTTAGCTTTATCCTTTGCTTAGGACATGGCACCGGTGAAATGGTAATAGGTTCCTTTTGGCTTTGTAATCACTGGTTAAACGTCTATTACATTTCCTTAATGAAATGGGAATGTCATCCTCTCTTTCTTAAAAAAGAAGGAACCTTCTCCTTTTCTATCTCTATAGTGCTGTATTCACTATCCCATGTTCACAGATAATAAGTTAGAGCACTGCAATTGTCACCACTGATTTGATCAATTCCAGTGCCACAAATATTATCTGCAGTTGCCTGATAATAATGTTAGATTATAACCAGTTATATATGCATCCACATATGTTATGCCAGATTGCTTAAATCAGATTTTTCTTTGTAGGTGTTGATGCAGGGTTTGTCACTGCTATTGCCCCTGCAGAAGAGGCCGTGCTTGTTACTACCCCTGACATTACGGCTCTCCGTGATGCTGACCGTGTTGCAGGGCTATTGGAGTGTGACGGCATCAAAGACATTAAGATTATTGTCAACCGAGTACGCCCAGACCTGGTGAAGGGAGAGGATATGATGTCAGCACTTGATGTTCAAGAAATGCTTGGCTTGCCTTTGCTAGGTGTTGTGCCAGAGGACGCGGAGGTGATCCGGAGTACAAATAGAGGTGTGCCGTTGGTTCTGAACGACCCACCCACACCAGCTGGTCTTGCTCTGGAGCAGGCGACTTGGCGGTTGGTGGAAAGAGATGCAATGACAGCAGTTATGGTAGAGGAGCAGGAGAGGCCCAAGAAGAAAGCTGGGTTCTTTTCATTCTTTGGTGGGTAATTTGCTGTGAGATTAATGAGCTCAGTGTAGGCAGTGTGTACAGATTTGCGTTTTGGAGCTACGATTGTTTTTCCCATTTCTTTTGCTTTGTTATAGTGTAGAATGATTCATCCGTTGTGCTTAAATCCATAGACTGGAGTATTTTGCCTTGTTTGCTCAGTACATAAGTAATTTACGAAGATATGTTTTGGTGCTTCTAGTCTTGGATCTGGTTTTACGTCAGAATTAAGCAAGAATGGAGATGCTCGTTTTTGTCGTCAGAATCAAACCGTATAGTTGTCGAGTTGAATGCTTCCATAGTTCCATTGATTTTAAACTGTATACTGTTCGGTTTGACGCCAATTACTTTATAATGTTTCCCTTAAAATTTTTCTGTCTTCGAGGACTAGGTCTGGTTGATTTCTTTGACATTTTGCCAGACCTTTGCTATCTCGGCAATTTGATAAATGGTAGCCACATCATAACAAGGTAAATTTTGTATCACGACATCAAACTCAACTGGAACACTCCGAAATCTTTTGATGATTGTTGAATATTTTCTTATCAATAAGTTACAGCTAGCAGTCTAGCATTACCATCATGTATATCTGGCTTGAGGACACGTATAAAAGGTAAAGTTGAATTAAAACAATTCATAAGCTTAGCCACCAAGCAAATAATACACAAGCATAGATTTTTTTTCCATTTTTAGTGGAAAAATGTGCCATCCAGATTAAGCAGATGTTACAGTTGTGTCATATATAGATCTTCCACTCAAATTACAGAAACAGAAACACAGCGATCTCAGACAGAGACAGGCAGGCCGTGAAGGCCAGGGAACAGCGTACAACGGCAGCATCACTTCATGTACCTCTGCAGAAACTTACGGTGGAAATCACTTCTGATAGTGTCGTTGATGAAACGTTTCGGTGTCTTGGTCTCTCCACGAGCCTGGTTCTTGAATACAACATCATCATCCCACCTGCAGAAAAAAAAAATAGGATAGAAATAAGTTCATCAAGTGTGCTAATATTAGCGAAGCATGTAATACAGCACGATGAGCTGTGTGTAAACCTTCTCTTAACATTGAAGGATCCGGCGTTGTTAATATTGATCAGGGGGTTTCCCCGCATCAGTTCAGCTTCCTTCATCTTAGCCTCCTCTTCTGCTTGTTGGCGTTCCTGAAGCAACGAGCATAATATTATTCTTACTGTTTTACCAAACAAAAGAGTAAAACCTAAAGAAATATATTGCCTTGACACTAGTGGAGAGAATAAAACAACAAACCTTTCTAAGGTTTTCTTCAGCTCTTTCTTTCTTGATTCTTTCAAGCTCTGCCATTAGAGCTTCAGTGTCATCATCGTCGTCATCATCCTCATCACTGAAACAAAATTGCAATTCCACATGTAAACATATATTGAAATTTTCAGCTATAAGAAAAAATGAGGTTTGGAGGGAGAGACATCCCTCCAAACTTTTTTTAAGAAGAAATTGTGAGCATGTTGGGGATTGAACATGGGACCTTGGGGTTAAAGCCGCATACCCCTTGCAATTTTCAGCTATAAAACAAGAATATGTGAATCCAAACACGCAACTATATGCACTAAAAATGGAAAGTAAGTTGCTTCATGATTTATCCAAATGGTATAAAAATGGCTGGACAGTGGACACAATCAACAAAATATTCTAGATAAGAATGGATATCAACCACTAGTTCACTAGCCTTCTGACCAAAACCAAGCTTACAGTATATATCGACAGACAAAATTATTTCAACCCAAACTACCTTCCTCCAGAATTATTAATTCAGCAAAAAGATGTGGAGATAAGCACACTAATGCAGCCACAAGAATGTCACCTGTATTTTACATGAGCATGGTGATTTATAAAAGATTGAACAAGAGTGCAAGACAGACCTTTCATCATCACTTCTGGGTTCCACATCAGAATCATCTGCATCGATTTCTCTAGGAACTATCTTATCCTCAGCCTCTCTCCTTGAACCTATAATTTAGCAGAAGAAACAACTAAGAAACACTATGTCTGAAGACAAACATATCTTCATAGAGCATTAGTGGTACAAACCTTCTAGGAGTAGGCTTGTGCTTTTCCGCCTATCTCTCTCCTCTGCAAGGGCAAAGAAGCATTCAAGTGGTTCAGCACATCAATTTAAATACAATGGGCAAGTAATTATACAAGGGAACAAGAAAAAATTCACAGGAAAATATATAAATAATTTGGCGAGCAATCTATGAACAAAAGAGGGAGCAGTATAATACACAAAGACCCAAAGTTAGTACCAGCATAGGACTTGTCCTTTGACGAGTAGTGCTTCCTCTCACGCTCCTCAAGTTCGTCCCTGAGATTCCTCTTCTGTAACTCTTCTTGGGTATGTTGTCCTTCTTTCCTGGACATAGGAGGGAAGGGTTAAATTTCCTGGACATATGTTGGACAAAGATGCATATTTCTACAATGATCACATCATTTGAGAGAGAATCGTAACTTTTTTGGCATTTGACTGCATACCCCTTACAGGAAAGGCAGTTCATAAACATATACTATCTTCATTTGCTGAATCGCATAACACAAGCTCAGCTAATGGCACAGGCGTGCGTCTAATCCTGCCCAGCCTGAACACAAAGCAAGTGATAAAGACATTTACAGACTATTAGCAAGTAAAATGGTTTCTTCTTAGCCAATTTGGGCCCCCGAAAGAAGCAAAACCAAACCGAAGCAGGGAGGGTCTAAAAGCTAGTGTTCGCCGTCTATGCCCTGCAATTCCACCGAGCTACGTTCGGGGAAGCAATTACTATCGAAAAATCATCTCAAAACAAGGGTTCCAGGTATAGAGCTTAATCCTAACCCTTTCCCCAAATCACTAGTGGAACCGAGAAGCAGAAGAATATCCGATCCAGATCTCCACGACACGAAGCACGCACATAGCTAAAAATCGAATCGAATTGATGTGGATGGATTGAAGAGGGGGAAAGAGTACCTGGGCTTGAGGGTGGTGTGGGCGGCGAGGTCGCGGGAGGAGTACTTCTGCGAGGGCCCGAAGATGCGGGTGCCGCCCTGCTCGTTGCCGCCCTTGGCCGGAGCCCAGGTCGGCCGCGCCGCCGTGGTCATCGCCGCGGCCGCGCGATTGACAAGGAAGGAAACCCTAGGCGGCGATGGATTCGATTCTCTATCCTCTCCTCGACGAGACGAGACGACGCGGTTGCAAAATTGCAGAGAAGCCCCTGCAGAAGCGTGTATATGTCGAGGAAGGCGGTTGTGTTGGTAAATGGGCCAGCCCAGGGAGGATGCCGGCCCACATAAATAAATAAATACGGACCCCCCACCCACAAAAACGATCCGTCCCTTTTTTTGTTAAAGAAGAATGATCAATAATTGTACGTATAAAGTGGTAATTAGTAAATTGGATTAGGATTACGAATGTCCGGTTCTAACTAGAATTCTGTGTATCCAATCCAATCCAGGTAGGATAAGAAGTTAATCTTATTCAGATCCGAATCATGATCGATTTGTGTTAATTAATTTGCTTATTACAAATACACACACCAGGCACCAATCGATCTATAGATCAATCAATCACGGTGGCTAGCTCAAAAACAAGAAAACCAAAACTCTTGGATCGATCGATCAATGGGGTCAGGTTTGTCATGCGCAATCTTATTGGAGATGGCCGGGGAAGCCTGTTGTAAGGTGAGGAGTTCAGTTTTGAGAGCAGTTGGTCGTCGGGGTACAAGAAGGACGATGCCAGTGACGGAGAAAGAGCGGCGCGTGGAGTACATCATGGACGTCCTCCCCTTTTACCACGCCTTCTTCTGCAGCAGAGCAGAGGATGAGTTGGAGTTCGATCCCGTGGAGGACAGCAAGCTCATCCCCCTGCCGCCTCCCATCAACGCCTGCTGCGCCCGATTCAGAGGCGAAATCTACCTCCACATCAACTTCGTGGCTCGCACTCGCGCGAGGAACAGCCACTGGCAGAAGCAGCGTTGCCTGGTTTTCGCGGAGCTCCGCTTCACCCCCTATGTCCTTGACAGCTTCTTCGTCGACACATGCACCGTGCTCCAGCAGCTGCCGGCCGATGCCGATCTCACCGCCGCCGCCGCCAATGGCAACGATTGTGCCTTCTGCCCGCCCGGACGCGTTCTGCACCCAGCCGAATTCTACTGCGGAAAGCAGCAGCACAAGGATGAGCTTAATCTGTCGATTCAGAAACTTAAGTTATTGTCGTAAATATATATTGATTCATTCATCGTGCATGCATGAATTCGTATATATTTCATGTCAAAAGTTATTGTTTCGCATGGATTTAAATATTTATAGGAGTCAATCGATATATCCGGTTTTTCATTTGAGAAATATGAATCAGAAATCGGACTGATATTTGATGAAGTTAAATTGGACTTATTCCTTGTGGGTTAAAGCAAAAAAATTGCCTAACTTAAAAGGCGAAATTACATAAAACACCCTAATTATCAGTGTTGTTTTCAAATTCTATCCCATAACGTATTTTATGTAAAAAAAAACCACCCACCTAATACTACTATGTTGAAATTGCTCCCATCATAGTTTACACATGCAACTAACTGATTCGGTCTATTTATTTGAGTTAATCCCTTGTGTACCCATAAAAATTTGCCCAATCTCTTCTATACCTTTCAATTTTACTCGAACCCCTCTGTACCCCTAAATTCTCGCTTTGATCCCTTCCATGCCCTCCCGTTAGGTTTTCTTCATTTTATAGTTATGTGTGGTTGCAAATGTCTATAATGCCCTTTAGATGGAGGAGCAACTGCAGGTAGATTGGAAAAGAATTGGAATATGTTGACCGCACAACATGTGTATTTTATGAGACTAATAATGAGTTTAAAACTTTTATTGTGGTATTGGAAAAAAAATGCAATCCATCGAACGATTTGTTTTGAAAAAAAATAATAGGGTTGGAAAATCAAAGTGACATCAGTTTGCTGTGTAAAAAAAATTGGTACACTCAACAGGAATGTGGACAAAGGAGAAAATCTGTGAAACAAAATAATCTGGATCAATAAGAGCATCAAGATCATCATAGATCATCAATCAAAATAGTAGTAACCATACATAGCACTTCATATCAATTTTATTTTCATCATCCATACAGAGCACTTCATATAAATTTCATACAATTTTATTTTCATCATCCATACAGAGCACTTCATATCAATTTCATTTTTATCATCCATACAGAACAGCTCATATGATGCACATACCACAATTTCATTTCCATACCCAATAGTGCAGGAACCAAACCAACTTTCCACTCCATACACAAATGTTGCAAATGACAGATCAAATATGTCAAACACTTTGTAAGGCATCACAACAGCAAACAAAAATGAAAACTGCAAGAAGAAGAAATGAAAATTGCTGCTACTCCTACCAGTAGGGCGGCGCAGCGACGAGAGGGTATCGGACTTTGGCCGCACGACAGGAGGACGGTGGCCGGCGGTGCCTGCGACAGAGGGCTATGGGCGGCAGCTGCGCGACTGGAAGGCGGTGGCCGGCGGCGCGCCACCGCGCGACGGGAGGGCGGGGACCAGCGGCGCCCTACCTCGCGACAGAAGGGCAGCGGCCGGCGGCGCGCGCGACGGGAGGGCGTGAGCCGGCGGCGCCCCACCGCGCGATGGGAGGGCGGCGGCCGGCGGCGCCCCACCGTGCGACGGGAGGGTGGCAGGAGGGCGGTGGCCGGCAGCGCCCCACCGCGCGACGGGAGGGCGGCGGCCGGCGGCGCGCGCGACGGGAGGGTGGCGGCTGGCGACGCCCCACCTCGCGACGGGATGACAGCGGCCAGCGGCGCGCACGACCGGGGGGGGTGGGAGCCAGCGGCGCCCCACCGCGCGACGGGAGGACGGCGGCCACCGCGCGATTGGAGACTGGCGGCGTGCAGAGGATGGGGGGAGAAGAGAAGGAGATTGGATCTGTTTACCTAGGGTTGGCTGGCAGGGGCATTTTGGTATTTTTTGAAAATACTGACAATGTAACACACAGGTCACGCTACAGATCAAACGGAAACCTAACGGGAGGGGTATGGAGGGGACCAAAGTGAAAATTTGGGGGTACACAGGAGATCGAGTAAAATTGGAGGGTATAGAAGAGATTAGGTAAGTTTTTTCATGGGTATACAAGGGATTTTCTCTATTTCTTTCCGCATGGATTCATAGCAAGTCATATTCAGTCAGGGTGGGCTCAACGAACGTGGCTATGGGATGAGTCCGACTCCAGCTTGTTCATAGTAAAGGGCACAAAATGGTATGAATTTAACAATCAATTAACGGAAAGGTTAGGGAAGGGATCTAAACAAAATATTCAAGGGTATGTAAAAGAGTTAGTAAAATGGGGGGGAGAGGGAGATATTGGGTAAAAATTTAGGGGTACGTGATAATTTTCTAAATAGGTTATAAGGTGAAATTTCAAAACAAGCGTGATAATTGGGTGTGGTTTATACTATTTTGACATTTCTAATTATTTTTTGGGACTGTCTATATGTCATTTGATAGAAAATACCCCTTAAAATCTTGGAAATTATGAACTGTTAGATCGCTTTAAGATTCATCCAGTGAAAACCTAACCCTAATTTCTTCTTCCCTCTCCCCTCTCCCCTCAATCTTGCTGCCGCCACTTCGCTCCCCTCCTCACGCAGTCGTGCTCTCCATCCCCTCCTACACCACTACTGCCCAACCACACCACCACACGCCCGCCCCTTGCCGATTGGTCGGAAGGCATCAACGGCGCCGGCGAGGCACCCTCGACCGACCTCCTTCCTCTCTCCTACCTCCTCGAGCTATCGATAGTGAGATGCCCCCGACACCAACGTCCGCCCACCACCCTCATCCATCCCCGTGGCTCCGACACCTTGTTGCCCACTCGTTCTGTCGCCCACTGCTAGGCCGACGTCTGCATGACCATCCCTCTAACCCCGACAACATCCCCCTTCTTCCCCTCCCAACCCTCCCATCCCCACCCCACCCCGGGACCCTAATTCGTCGGCCCTCTGCTGAAGTTTGGGTTGTCACCAGCGCCGGAGAAGAAGAGGAGGTCATCGGAGTTGGAGAAGACGCACATGGAGCACGAATTATGAAGCACATCCAGTGATCTAAATCTACAATCTACAAGTTTTGGGGATGCATTTTCCGTCGACAAAAGGTTAGCGGTTCCATTATGTTTTTTTGGAGGGTTGGGTAGCGATGGCAACAGGGCAGGGTAGGCCTGGGTTGGGCTGGAACGACCCCCTTTCCGCTCCTCTGCGGGTCCACCCGGCCCCAACCTCGGAGTGGAGGGCGGGTTGAAATCGATCCCCATCTTCGGCCCCTCCGGGGGCCCACTGCACTCGTAGGCGAGGATGCTTGAAGGAGGCGGCAAGTGGAGACGCGGCCGTGTGGCGGTGTGCCGACGGGCGGAGGCGAAGCGGAAATGGCAACGACGAGCGGAGGCAGTGTAGTGACAGGCGATATCGAGTGGAGGTGGAGGTGGAGTGGTGACGAGTAGAGGCGGAGTGGAAACAACGGCGACGAGCGGAGGCGAAGGGGACGAGGAGACGACCGGGCAACGACAGTTGTGGAGGATGGTGAGGGGAGTGGGAGTAGGGGATGGGGGATTGGTGAATTAGGGTTTAGTTTTTATATGAGTGACTTATTGGATTAACTGGGCTTGTATTGTTGGAATGGACTATATTTTTAAGGCATATCTAATATCCCAGGGCCCCGCTGGGTCACCCGAGGGTAGCTGACAATCCCCACCCCTGTTTGTGGAAATTTGCGGGTCCCCATCCCCGCTCATTGGCGGGTGAAAATTGCCCCCCTTCTAGGATTGGAGGGAGTGACCGAGTGAGAGAGGGGGTGGTTTGGGAATAGAGATAAGTGAAAAGTACGGGAGGGGTTTAACTGTGCAAAGATGTAATCATCAGGAATGTGAGCCACATGTCGGTCTCACTTTCCTTCATCTCTCCTCCCATCAACCCATGCTTCTAGTCTCTCCCTTCCCTTGCGAGAAGCAGAGGCACACCGCGCGGAGGAAGCACGGCCTCGTCGTCGTCATCGTCGGGAAGAAGCCTTACCTTACCTATGTTGCGCTGATGTCGGAGGTTCTTGGGGGATGCAGAGCAGGGAGAAGGGGAGTTGGGGGTCCAGATCGGCCACAAGGTGTTTGGCCGGCGTCCAGAGCTATAGGATCAGGGAATCAGGGAATCAGGGAGATGAGGTTAGGGAAGCAGGACAACGGCGGGGTTGGTCTTCTTGAAGATTGAGGATTGGTGTTGGAGGAAGGAGAGGAGGAGCAAGCTCTTCTGGCGGCGGTGTTTGTTTGAGACAAATGGTGGTCTTCTCTTCTACCTGCGATGCGCACATATGATGTTCGTTGAAATGACTGGGAGGGAGTCGTTCGCTTTGCTTTCTGTTCTGATGCGATACCACGGGGACGGGGGCGCCGCCGCGCCGGTACGATGCTGCACGCACATACCGGCGCCACTGGACGACGCTGCTGGAGTGCTCTGCTGGCCGCCGTGGACGTCGGTGAGCTCGTGGCGTCTGGTGTGGTGCAGGCTGCAGCCTGCAGCTGCACGAAGGACGTCATGGAGCATGTGGGCCCACTGTCAGCGACTGAGGAAGTGCGGCCCCACCTGTCAGCTAACGGGAGAGCTACTTCAAATTGCAGCCGCCTTGCGCGCCGGGAGGTAACTGTCGCAACCGCCCTCCTCCGCTCTCCCCCTCTCAGCGGAGCGGAAGCGCCAAGAACCAAGAGCCCCGCGCCTCTCTCCCCCTCACCGGAGCGGGAGCGCCAAGAACCCAAGATCCGTGCGCCTCTCTCCCCCTCTGCTCGCCTCGCTCTTCGGAACCAATGGAGCTGTTCCACGGCGGCCACCACGTCCACGCCCTGTGCCCCGTCGCGGCCGCCGCCTCGGACGACGACGGCGACAGCTGGGTCTTCCTGCATCCGCTCCGCGCGACGGTGCACGCGGCGTGGCCGGCGCACATGCTCCGCGCGTTCGACGGACGGACGGACGGCGCCACGCGGCGGCAACGACCGTGTTGGCAGATTGGGAGCAGATTGGCCTCGGCGGCAACCGCGTCACCCTGCGCGACCTACACCGCCTCGGCTTGTTCACCGTCGTCTTGGGATCGGGGGACGACGTCCTGCTGGATGCCTTGGCCGCTCCCACGAGTACGTCCTGCGTGGTGCAAGTCATCCCCCCGAGAGACTCCCTGCCTTCCCTTCCAGTTTCAGAACCAAATCTTCTGGTGAGCACTCCCTTCCCTAGCTAATTCTTAATTGATTTGCATGACTTAGGTTCTTTGAGGCAATTCTTGATGTCCTCTTGAACGCAGATTGCAGAAAATTCTTCGCTTCTGATGTTACCAATGTCTCGAATTCTTAGTTGCATTTTAATTCTGTATGTTACATTCGTAGGGGGGCAGTTCTTAGGTTGCTATCCAATTCTCGCTCCTCCCCATTTGCTTCCTTCACAGTGCAGCAGCTCCGTTTACTTGGTTCTTCCAGGGTGATCAGGGTAACAACTGTACCCTTGAAGAACTCCACCATGACCACGCTATCAAGTGTACTTCTTGTTTTGTTATTCCCCCAAAAAAGACCTAGTGTGAAGTAATTCCCTTTTTTACCATTATTCACCATGAACTTCTAGCTTATACATTACCAAAAGAACAAGTGCATAGAATAATATATTTAGAAATTTTCATTTCCTGTTAGCGGTAGGGATTTTATGTTCCCTTAATAGTTTTTTGTTCTGCTAGAGGAAAGCTGAGATTTCAGTTTTATTTCATTGTAACAAGGTGCAACAATAGCTGATCAAAAAGTCATCATCGCACCTGCTTAAAATATCGTTCTCTCTCTCTGTTTACTTAAATTTTCTGTACACGCTATGAATTTTCCTCTCCAAATTTATTTCGGTGTGGTTCTTGAAAATGGTAACATCATCTGATCGCCATTGTCATTCTCTTACTATGTCCTAGATAGCACCGTGCTAGATGATGTTCAAGATTGTTTGCGTTCTTTGCAAATTGTATTGAATTGCTATATGCCATCCTCTTTGCTGCAGCCCATAGGACATGATGCATTGTATATATGGTTCGTGCGAGCATCTCCGTTGTTTGGGGATCAACTGTTGATGTTTTCTTGAAACAGAGGATGCAGATTGAGCAAATTGTATTTGTTCTGCTCTCCGTTGCAATTCTTTCATTATGCGGGAAGAAATTCTTAGTATCATTTATTTCCATAGGTTCCCTTCAAAAAAAAAAAAACCATAAGGAGTCTCTAGCCTGTAGGTTCAAGTTTTTAGTGCTGCAAATCCCATTGACATTTTATCAATAATGCTAGTCTATGAGTGCTGGAACCAACACGTTTATTCAGATTATTTGGCACACAAGAAAATGACATGTTTACATGGTTTAGGCTTCTCCATGTAATTATGAAGATGCCTTCTATTTGATTCATCATTTTAGCCTGTGGTTATTTATACAGATCAAATTTCAAAGTTTTTTCTTTCTTATATATGTTCACAGATGCACTGATCTCATGACATTTGCCACTCATGTTCTTGAATGTGTGGAACTTTCTTCTTTTACTTAGCTTAAATGAAACCATGTCTGATGTAATTTTACATAATCCTGTTTCTTAGCCATAATTGATAAACCAATAGTTTCAATATTTGCAAATCTGACATAGAGTAGCTCTGGTAACAGTTTTCATGCACCAGGGGCACGTTTGTGTTTCTCCAGAAAATGTTCTGGCAGTAAACAAAACATTTTTAATTTCGGTTCTAACATGGGCATAATTGCAACATCGTGGTAATATTTTTTGAAATGGATTGTGCTAATCTTATGGAGAATTTGAATTGAACATTGTGTTCTTTTCTCAGATAAGTGGAACCAGTTTCCCAATCGGCGGAGACAATGGTATGATGGGTGCAGATAATGAGAGGGCTGAAGGGCCGCAGACTATGCTTTTGGTGGAGGAGGGCATTAGGAAGGTTGACACGGAGTTTGCTTGCATCTCATACTTAACACCATGGCGCTGGTGCAACCAAGCTGTAAGATGGCTGGCATGGAAGACTGGTACCACACTTGCTGGGCTCGTGTTACCAGATACATGGAGCTGGGAGAAAATTGTCGGATCACCTGCTGTTCAAGGCAGAGGTGAGAAGCTCCCAATCAATCATACTGATAGTATATATGGATGCTTAAATTAACTTGCATGACAGCAGATACAGAGATGAATGATATTGATGTGTGGTTGCAGGTGGGTGTTCATTGTCTGCTTGCACTGTATGCACTGAAGCTCAGCATCGGATGATTTACGATAGGCTCCATGGCTCAGGCTCATTCCGATGGAGAGTTGAGGTACCTCCAACTACTCTGAGGATGGAATGCATAAAGAAAGAAGCATGGAACCCCGAAGAAGGTGGTAAGGTTGAGCATGTATTGGAGGTTGTTGTTGGCATGGGAGGTCTGCCGACTATGGATGATGATTACTTCCTCCCCGTGGTAGGGTTGAATAAGTATCCTGGACCTTACAAGACCCAGATGCTCAGACTGACGGAGTATGTCAAACCCCTGACCGCCATAGAGACAGCCAGGCTTATTCGTCAGAGAGGGCCGATCATTGGTGCACTGGCGGTTAACCCACCCCACTACTTCTCTTATCGGGCGGATGCAAAACAGCGAGCCAAAAGAGTGTACAGAGGCTGTCCCGAGTCTGCAATAATTGCCCGTAAGGCGGCCTGGCACGCAGTTGTCTGTTTTGAGTATAGGTTCGTGAAGAGTTTGATTGGAGAAGAGCTTCAGCTGAAGATTATGGACAGCCACAGCCCAGACGGACCTCGGAGGTGGATCTGTTTTGATGCCTTCGACAGGTTCTGTCTGCCAGTCATTTGCCGGCCGCCGTGTCCCCGCCCGTCGTCATCGGAATAGATCTGTTCTTACCTGTGTAGAGTAACTCTGTCTGTTGGGGTGGTCGCTTCTTCTTATCCTACCCCTGCTTCTTAACTCACTGCAGAAGGGCAGAGCATGTACCTGGGAAGCTTCATCTTGTCTTCCCTCGGTGCGTACTGAATGCAAACGTTATTACATTTACATGAGTACCTGCTGCTTCTTCTTCTTCCAGTGCGATGCATCAACTGTATTGGAGTAGCTGTTGCTTATTAACCGATTAACTCGGCGCTTCTTCTGTTATCAGAGAGATTTTTCTAGTATATCTGGTGTTAGCATCAGCTGCTGCTAGTTAATTACTAGGCAGCTATCTAGAATCTTAGATTTTGATCCGTTTATACAGTTAATACCAGTACTAAAGTTCTTTTGCTTGATTCTTTGTACGTACTACTGATGTTTCTTTTTTTTTAAAAAAAATCCTTTTTTTGTCAAATGCATGCATGTATGCAGCAAGAAAGACAGTAGTAGAGTAGCATTCAAGAATACAGAGACTCTCTTTCTCTGTAGAAAAGGTAAAGGCAAGATCAGATTTCATTACTAATACTTTGTAACGAATTATCTAGTGATGTTAGTGGCACGCAATTAGATTTGAAGTAATTATTACTTTGTAATGACATCGAAAGAGTGCGAAAGAAATTACCATCCAATAGTAAGAGAAGAAAGATTTCAGAAGATAAGCATGCAAAGTGGCCTGCGAATAAATTTTCATTTGTATCAGAAACCGAACCGTTTTTTAATTGGGGCTGTCTATATAGGAATCGAATGATTTCTGAAGGTCCAATCATGTAGATTTTATCTACCATAGGATGCACATCCAACAACTCAGAAAAAGTGATACAAATAAATATTACACTTAAAAACAGATATATTATTTGATTATTTGAACGCCATTTTTTTGAAAGCCCAAATTCAGATCCAGATCTATAAAAGCCCAAATCCATATCCAGATCCATAAAAGCCCATTAGTAAAAAGAAGGCCCAAGATACAAAATTTGAATCACACACAAATAAACAAAGCCCATGATTTTTTCGCCCATGCCAATTATTTGAAGGCCCAAGTCCATATCCAGATCCATAATAGCCCGTTAGTAAAAAGCAGGCCCAAGATACAAAATTAGAAGCAAAAAAGTAGTAGGGACCAAACTTGGAAGCCAAGTAGATGAAAAATATGTCACGTGAATCAACCATGTATGGGACCACACTTTTCAATCCCCTACTTTTCAACAGCGCTACTAGTTCACAAACAGATCTAGCACGAATCAAACATGGAGCTAGGAGAAGAGAAAAAAGAGAGAAAAAGAGGATCCAAATCGCAGATGGAAGAAGGGGAGAGTATAATGTCAGAATCAAAGAGTAGTTCTAGAGGAAAGAAGAAATCAAAGACAACTTCTGAACAGAAAGTTGAGATCCATACAAAGGAAACACAACATCTGGAGAACGCAGAGGAAAAACAAGAGGAAGGCAAGATTAAGAGAAACAAGAAGGCTCCAGTTCAAAGGTTAGTTCAAGGCTCCAGTTCTTAACCTCTATTAGAAATTCTAAATCCTGAACAAGAATAAAGAGAGAGTTTAGGTCAAATATACAATTCAAAAGAATACAAGAAATTGCTGAATATGTCAAATGAAACAAGGTAAATGAATCAGTACTTAACATTCCACTTTGCTGGATAAATACAACTCAGAACTGAAAATTTCATATGTTTGCTCTGTAAATATGAACTATGTATTGTTAAAAGTAAAACTAAATTGCATTCAGTACTACAAAACTGCATTCTGGATGATTGTATTATTGTGTACTATTGATGAATACCAAACTAACTTTATAAAAAAACATGACAGATTGATTAGACTTCCAACCTTACTGAATTTTACTCTGAAGATATCACAGTTATACAGTTATACAGAAATATAACAACTAGGCCATATAGCATATCCTGAATTGTGATATATTCAATTTTATCAGCATAATCACCATATTAAACTAATGACAAATTCAATTCTCAATGTCAACCAGTTGTCTCATACAACTCAATATTTCATAAAGCTCAAGATCTCATACAGCACAAACAAAAAAGCCAATTTATAGGAACTCACAAATTTCTTAACATGTTACAGTAAAAAAGTAATAAAATTACATACAAGAATCACTGTAATTCTAGTATTAACTCACTGTAGTAAAAGATTAGTTCAGAAAAGTTTAGCTCACACAATCATGCACAAATTCAGGAACACATTCAAGATATGTTTTACACTCAAGACTATCTCAGTTTAATGTTTCTCCCATCATCAGACAACAAATGAAGATTTCAGATAATAGATCATTGTTGATTTGTTCAATGTCTCAAAATAGAATATAATGAAACTAGTTACAGTGAACTTCTATTACAAATATATAGAGTGAACACTACAATTTCAATTGAACATACATGTAACTACAAAGAAACAATGTAAAATTCATACGAAATCAAGATCTAATGCAGTTTCAATCTCAATTTCAAGATGATTTCAGATTTTTCGAGCAAAAAACAAGGTATCAATACTTCAAAAGTAGTACATATGTAAAAGCCAAAACAAATCATATCTGAAAATTCTACTTTCAAAATCAATTTTGAAGATTTAAAATCAATTTGTTTTTCATTCTAATTACAGGACAGTCTAACACAATTGTACATTAGTATTATCACAATTGTACAGGAGGATTATCACAATCAGCACAATATATATGTCTCTTAACACAATTGTATATGAGTTTTATTGCTGATTTCATGAACTAATGCATCTTCATTTCCAATTTAAAAAATGATTTTAGATTCATCAAGCAAAGAACAGGATATCACTACTTCAAAGTTGGTTCATGTGCAGAAGCCAAATGAATTCATATCTATGAAAACTTCAAAAGGTATGCATTCTTTTGACTTCATTATATTTTACTTTCAGTTCTAATACATTATTCAGTACAAACTCATTTCATTATTTACAGGATTCAAAGGAAACAAGGAAAAGGAAAAGAACAATTCTATGGACATGCAAAAAGTGGAATCAGGTTCAAATCTAAACTTTGATTTAACATCCTTTTAACACAAATATATATCAAAAATACAAAATATTTTGCAAACTGCTCAAATCAAATCAACAGTACAAAGAAATAGAAAAGAAAAAGTGCCATCAGATATTATAAGAAACACCTCAAAATTCTGCACATCATCAAACAAGAAATTAAATCATTCTTTTCACTTAGGATGATTGATTTTCTTGCCTGATGACGTGCAAAATTTTGATTTGTTTTTCAATTCAAATTTTATTGATCATCATCTGGCCAAAAAACTACAATATACAATGTACTTTTAAATGTGAAAAGTAAAACTAGAATTAGAACAAGTCATCATAGTTAAGCATAGTCACAATCAGGAAAACAGATGATGTAAACTATATGAATTTTAAAAAGATCATAAATCATAGCCTGATTTATGAATAATTTCATATTTGGCACAACTGAAATATGATTAAGAAAACATAAAGGACAGTAGTTTAGTGTTTCTTGATGTGTGATTTTTTAATAAAAGACAGTGATTCAGTTAATAACTGTCATATTAACAAGTAATTTTATATTTCGCTGACTTTGCCATTTAGAAAAGCATCCAGGGCAATGTACACAGAACAATTAGAAATCACATTTCATACAGGTATATAGAACATTTAAAGACTTGCTTCATTATTTCTTTGCAGGTGTCATAGAAAAGGAAAAAGAATGTAAAAGTTCTAAGGAAAAAGAAAGAAAAAACACAGGTAAACAAGAGTTACAGTAAATTTTAACTGGAATTACAGTAGCATTACACTGTAATTGAAATACTTATTTACTGTAATACTACTTATGGAACAGACTCATACAGGTTTGAAAAACATTTAAAGACTTGCTTGATTATTTCTTTACAAGTGTCATACAAAAGGACAAAGAATGCAAAAGTTCTAAGGAAATAGAAGGAAAAAATACAGGTAAAAAAGTTACAGTAAATTTTAACTTGAATTATAGTAGCATTACACTGTAATTGAAATACATACTTAGTGTAATATTAAAATTATTTTGAAAGAATTATACAAACTGATTCATTTGTTCACTTCAGTGTCTATAATCAATTATCAAATTGATTGTAGTTGGATTTTTAAGTAGTTACAGTTTCTGTTTACTGGAATTACAGTATAATTTCACTGTAATACAAATATATGTTTACTGTAAATGGACTTATGAAAAAGAATGGTAAATACACTCTATGTTTCAGAACTTGCTGGTTTAGAAATACAAAAGTTCTTTGCAATCTTAATTTATTCTTTCTATGCAGGTGTCATACAAAAGGAGAAACAAAGCAAGAGTTCTATGGAAATAGAAGAAAAAGAATCAGGTGAACAAGATAAATTCAAATTTTCTTCACAATAAGAAGATTAAAATGAGTTTGAAATTTTTAAAAAAATGCCATCAGATATAAAAAAGCACCTCAAAGCTTTGCACATCATCAGACAAGGAATTTAATAATTCTTTTTACTTAGGATTATTAATTTTCTTGCTTGATGACGTGCATAAATTTGATTTGCTTAATTAAAATGATATTATTCATCATCTGGCAACAACAAAAAATAGGCAAAATCACATATCAGAGAGAAAACATCAATTACAGTTGGATTTTTAAGTAGTTACAGTTTTTGTTTATTCGAATTACAGTATAATTTCACTGTAATACAAATATATGTTTACTGTAAATGGACTTATGAAAAAGAATGGGAAATACACTCTATGTTTTAGAACTTGCTGGTTTAGAAATTTAAAAGTTCTTTTGCAATCTTAATTTATTCTTTCTATGCAGGTGTCATACAAAAGGAGAAACAAAGCAAGAGTTCTATGGAAATAGAAGAAAAAGAATCAGGTGAACAAGATAAATTCAAATTTTCTTCACAATAAGAAGATTAAAATGAGTTTGAAATTTTTTAAAAAATGCCATCAGATATAAAAAAGCACCTCAAAGCTCTGCACATCATCAGACAAGGAATTTAATAATTCTTTTTTACTTAGGATTATTAATTTTCTTGCCTGATGACATGCAGAAATTTGATTTGCTTAATTAAAATTATATTATTCATCATCTGGCAACAACAAAAAATAGGCAAAATCACATATCAGAGAGAAAATATCAATTACAGTTGGATTTTTAAGTAGTTACAGCTTCTGTTTACTGGAATTACAGTATAATTTCACTGTAATACAAATATATGTTTACTGTAAATGGACTTATGAAAAAGATTGGGAAATACACTCTATGTTTCAGAACTTGCTAGTTAAACATCAAGAATGAATTGATTAAAGTTGTGTTTTTTCATTGTAGCATTT